AAAGTATATTCATCGGCCAGTCTAGATAAATTACCAAACTGCAAACGACATGTGCTTTTTTTACACGCTTTTACAGGCTGCGATACGACGTCGGCATTTTTCAACAAAGGAAAAAATAAGTTTACAACTATGTTTGAATCTCGAACATATTTACAAGGCTGCTGAAGTTTTCAAACAAGAGAAGCAAAATGTAGAAAACATTCTTAAAGCTGGTGTAATACCATATGTATTCTTGCTTTATATGGAGCTCATCAATCTGAATCTGATTTAAATCAGTACAGATACAAATGTTTTAAGGCCGCCATTTCGAACGACAGTCGGGTACAACTATCAAATTTACCATGCACTATAGATGCAGCTACAGAACACGTGAAGAAAGTATACCTCCAAGTACAGTTATGGCTTGGAAATTATTTATCGCGAACGGAATGGGGATCGATGGTAAATTTGTAATGCCAAACCCAATGAACCAAGAACCTGCTCCTGAAGATTTATTAAAAATCATCTTTTGCAAGTGCAAATCAGGATGCAGCGGAAATTGTGGTTGTAGAAAAACCGGATTATTTTGTACCGAAGCATGTTTTCATTGTAATGGACAAAATTGCACCAACTGCGCGCCTATCGTTGAAGAAAATGAGTTGGAAAATGAGGAAATTGTTTGAAAATATTTTTACATAATATATACTTAGAAATAAAATAATATTTCTTTACTTCTACACTTCTTCTGAATAATTATTTGTAGTTTACAAACGATAGAATACATGGTAGCGCGTTAAATATCGATTTATCGTTCAATTTTAGTTTTTTCAATTTTAAAAAATTTCCTGTAAAAAGCGGCGATTTTTAACCTATAAAGGTTTTAGTATTTTTAATTTGTGACATTTAAAAAAAAACATTAAAATCCGAGTTGGTTGAACCGGTTCCGAGATAACGCTCGTTTTCCGTCTAATTTGACTGTACTAAAGAGATGCGCTGGGATCGGGCCGTCCTTGGAGACGATGTCTTCGCCGTATTTCTTCCTAAGCTCGCGCCGTACGTAAGCATGCAGTTGTAAATACAGTGGCTTCATACGGTGCTATAGATGTTTTCCATTTTACTCTCCGTCATCTCAAATTCGTTAGAACTCTGCAATCATATATCACTTAGTAATGATCTAACTTACTCGCAATTTTGATCAATGAAATGAATTCAAGTTTTCGCTATACAGCCCAGTTGGAAAATTGTTAAATTTAACACATTTCATAGCACATCTCAAACAGTTCACCTAAATTTTTGTGTTAATTTAATACAAGATGAATATGTTAAGAATTAACACAAATTACATATGTTACGTAAAAAACTGAGGCTCTTGAGTACTTACCTTAGCCATATTGAATCGTGACATCATAAGTGAGAAATGATATGTTTTTCTTGCATGCCATTTGTAAATAAAGATAAATTAGATAAAAGTAGAATAATGAGACCGCTTGTAAAACACTTGTAAAAACGTGTCAAGGTTGTCATCCCTCCTATGATAGTTATAAAAGAAACGTAAAGTGCGTTTATTAGTTTTTATTCAATGCGTATGCGTAATCTATTTTTACTTCACGAATGTTTTTCGGCTATTTACTGAATGTCAGAGGGGATAGTCTCAACATTCATTTTTACAAGTGTTTTACAGTGATCTCATTATTCCACTTTATTTAAACTGTCTTTATTTACAAATGGCATCCAAGAAAAATTACCGTGTCATTTCTCGCTAATAACGTTACGATTCTGTATGGCTGAGTATGGTGAATGTTGAGTGCTTTCCAATTGCTTAATACATCTTGACAAACGTACCCAGTAAAAACTTTTATACATTAATATGTATAAATATGTATGCAGGGTTGGATAATGCTAAGACTGCTAAGTTAAAAAGATAAAAGTTAAGTTAAAAAGTTAAAAAATTAATTAATTTTAACTTAACTTAGTTACAATTTAGACTTTTAACTTTTTAACTTTATTTAGTTACATTTTATCCGTAACTATTAATTTTTTATTTAATTCTTCGAAGTCTCAGACATAATATGCGGCAATAGCGGTAATTTAAAATGAGGTGAAAATTGCAAAAGTGAGCAAATTTACTAGATGTTCACCAATGAAATTATAAATATTCTAGTGAATTTGCTCACTTTTGTAATTTTCACCTCATTTCAAATTACACAATCGACCTCCAGATTTCAATCTGTCAGAAACTGTGTATTTCGATGTATATAGTTCTATTATTCCTTATAAATCTATTATTCCTTATTACTATCGCCACTCCCTCGTATTGTGTCTGAAGCTTTAGTCATATCACAGGCCAGTATTCATAGGGTGCTTTCCAATTGCAATATCCTTAGACACTTTCGTGCACACGGCGACACAAGTTGCGTTCCAATTGTCCATTATCGTCGACACAACACATCCATACTCAGTCGAGAGTTGTGTAAGCTTGCGTTTTCTAGTGACAATTACATGTTACTAACTGCTCCGGCTATAAATGAGGTTGGAAGACGTTGAGTGGCCGGCACTCTACTTACTTTTTTTTGTTTAATACCGGCGGAAAAAGCTATATTTAATCTAACTCCATCCGAAACAGATTTCAACCGTGCACAGCGTACACATTCTATTCCAATTGAATCGTGCACAACATTACACTTTGTGCATTTCTGTGTACGTTTGTGTTACGATGTGTTAAGCAATTGGAAAGCACCCATAGTTGAATCTTATATACTAAACAGTATATATAAACAAAACATTTAAATAAAATATAGAGTATTTTCTAAATGAAGTATATATTGTCATTTTCGTTATTTGTAAGACTGAAA